TGAAGGTTTGAATGTTCTTGGATGATCCTTGGGAGCAAAATGTGGGTATTTTCGAGTGAAATTGTGAGAAATGATCAATTTTTCGATAGAAAAACTTATATACGGTTGGTTTTCGGCCGGAAAAGGGTTTTCGGCCAAAATCTGTTTTCGGTCTGAAGGTTTTTGGCCAAAAACAGTTTGTTGTAATGAGAGTTTGTGGTTTTTTAAGGGGAAAACATTGATTTTTGAGTGTTTTTGATTCCGAAAACTTATATAAACTTTATTTATATAATATAAATTATTTTCTAACCCTCAGGAACTTAAAGAAATAAATAAAACTCGAATTATATTTATCGGATTTGACTTTTGTTGACTTGGGAAGTATCGGGTTGTCACACAAATGATGTCTTAACACGTAAAGTTTGCAACTTTACTCCTTTGCATGACTTAATGGGACCAAATCCTTGTTTTTATCCATAATGAGAACACCAACTCATACATGCATCAACAAGAACCTTCAAGATAACATTTTTATGACTTAACAACTCAACTAGGACCAAATATGAGGCTCAAAGATCCTGGAGTAGCTTCTAATCACAAGAATAACAACCTTGGGACCAAAACATGGAAAAACACCACCCAAAGCTAGATCTAAACAATAGATCAATAAAGTTTGAAGCTTTATACCTCTAGAAGGTAGATCAAGATGCACCAAGCTTAGATCCACAAGCTTCAAGCAATCCCACACTTCTCCAAGAAGCTCCTTCTCTTAAATGAGCACAAAAATCTATGAAATCACACCAAAATCTCAAGAACCACACTAAAGGAGACTAAAATTTTGTTTCTATAGTTTAAGGGGATGGAGGCTGAAGATAAGAGGGTTTGGTGTTGAGTTGAGGAGCTTAAATAGGGTCTAAGACCCTAAATTAGGGTTTGGGTCTGATTGGAGTACGCATGGTACGCCCAGCGTACTCAAAAGAGCACATGCGCTCACTCTACCTAGTACACCTAACATACTCCTATGTACACTCAACATACTAGGCTTAACCCTAATACCACCAAACTTCTAACTTCTTCGTTTTAAGTCCAATTTCGATGATCCTTATATCACCGGAAAGGTAACGAGAAGCTCTAAACATCCATCAGCTCATCTTTGCCTTAGGATCAAACCTATGGGACTTAAGGAATAATATAAAAAAAGAGAGGCAAAAATATTGATATTAAATAAAAATCAATAAAATAAGTAAATAATTCATAAAAAGCCCGACTGCCACTTTACCGATGTACTCTTGGACTCCAAAACACAAATCGAACTCCCCGATCATCTAATCTACATATCCACACTCAAAGGGGACTAAGTTTCCCTTCCCAAAGGCCGTAAGCCTTACGATAACCAATCTTCAGATCACGGCCCTGAATTAGGAAAGGATTCGGAACAAGGTGTTACAAAGGGGGTAAGAAAAAACAAGTAAGAACTCAAAGCTTATGAAGAAGGAAGTTAAGGAGACTTTTGTTGACGTGGAGCCTAGATGATTTGCTACTAATCAACGAGAATATAGGAACCAAAACGATGTTTACTTCTCCCGAAAAAGTTATGATTCCAAATTTCCGTCGTTTCTATTCCCGCTTATCATTTTGTGTCGAGCCTGATTACTCTTACTTGATATAATCATATAATTTTGGCCGGGTTAATGTCATAAAAACTATCAAGTTTTCAGGGTTTTGTCGGTTTTGCTCAAAGTTGAAATTTATGTCCATTTTTACCCAAACATTTTCAAAAAAAATGTTCGGTTTTACTCTTTTACCGGTGATAACAAGTTTTTCAGGTTACCATTATATTAAATTCGCAAAAAAACCCCATGAGTTTACAATTTTTTTGTGTTTTTACCCTTAAGTTTATATTTTTTTTTACACTTTTACCCTAAATATATATTTTTCATAATATACATATTTATATGATTTTTCTGGTTGAATACGTCTAATATGAAAAAAAATATATACATAGGGTAAAAGTGTAAAAAAAAAATTATAAACTTAAGGGTAAAAACGTAAAAAAACTATAAACTTAAGGGTTTTTTTGCGAAGTTAATATAATGGTAATCTGTTATTACCGATATAAGGGTAAAACCGAACACTTTTTGGAAAATGTTAGAGTAGAAATGAGCATAAAATTCAACTTTGAGCAAAACCAATAAAACTTTAAAAACTTAAAGGTTTTTATGACATTACTTCGTCCATAAAATTTGAACTCCACATGCATCGCCTGGACTTTGATGGTATAAAATAGGGCATGATTACATTGTTTACTCCATGAAATTTTTAAAGACCGCGCCTATACATACAATGTAAAGTCAAATAAACCAATCATGCTTTATACACATCTAAATTTTTGAGATTAATTATAGGAAAACATTTTGTTAGATAGTTATTAAGAAACTAATATATAAATACATAACAAATATATTATCATGGAATAATCACAAAAAAAAATTCTATTATGATGTGACATGCAAGGTTTTGAAAACCGAACCGGTTGTCTTACTGGTTCGATGGTTCAAATGGTCCAACCGGTTGGACCGGTCTCAAAAACCAGAAAAACCGGATGATATCATAATTATATTTAATTATATAAAAAATACAAAAAATAAAAAAAAAAAATATTTTTTACAATTTTCGGTTTTGACCGGTTTTACCGGTTCAACCAGACCGGTTTTTACCGGTTCGACCGGTTTTTAATGGGTTTCACCGGTTCACATGAATACCGGTTTTTTGGCTTTTATAAACCGGATCCGAGACCGATTCCCGGTTGAACCGGTCGAACCGGCCGGTGCTGTCCGATTTTCAAAACATAGGTGACATGTAATGTAACAATTAGATCAACTTTGTGAAGAATCTCACAAACTACCACTAAACCAACTTGTCAAATTTGATTTTGTGAGATACTAAAAATGTGGTTCTCACACCTTATCTTAGAACTATTTCCCCGTGTGTTACAAGTTGGTTTTGAACTCTCTCCAAGTGTCATAATCTTGCAACTTGTCACAAAATGGCAATACGTGTAATTTCTCTCTTTAATTTCTTTATATTCTTGGATTTAATGTTATCCACAACTTAAATTTTAATCGCAAGTTCAAAAATGAGTTCCAAAACTCGTGTTATTTTGGAACTGAAAGAGCAATTATGGAACTCACACTTTCACAAATTTTCTTTGATCATATAATAAGTAAAACATGCAAAAACTAGAATATTGTATATGGGTTAAGAGAGTCGGAAGCTCTATGAAATTTTTAGATACTCGATGAACTTCTATCTTAAATTGTTATATAAACATGACATAATACTTAGATACATGTTAAATTTAATATATTGTGCAATAGAGTAGTGAACTTCTGAATTTTAAACTTGATGAATATGTTTTTTTGAAAAGGGAACTTCCTTAACGGCAGTGACGGATCCAAAAAGAAAAATGAGGTGTTGTACAAATTCTTTAGGGGTTGCACTATTAGAAGTTCCCGTCACAAAATCATCACTAAACCAGTGAATTTACACTAAATTTATAATTATCAGATTTTGTGGTGGATTTGTGACAGATTTGTGACGGATTTCCAACGGATTTGTGATGGATTTTCGGAAAAAAAACACGATATTTACATTTGACAGGAAAATTGGAGGGGTATCCCGGGCTACCCAGGGCTACATGGTAGCTCCGCCCCTGCTTAACGAGCATTTTAGCATCAATTTTCGTGTATCGATTAATTATCCACTGCAAACATGTAACTATGTTTAATGTACTGAAGTCACTGCAGACGAATCTTAATGACCACATGGCTGAGTAGTGCTATGATATGAACATGGACCAATATGTCATCACAACCCAAATAATTAACTCGATTAAGATGTTCCCAACTCAACTACATTTTTTTTTATTTTTTTTAACAATTTGTAATTCTATTTTTCTCTTAGCTTTATGGATTCTTGATCTTGATATTATGATGAGCATTAGCAATGCGACTTTTTATAACATATATCTTTCACAATCATAATAATCGCCTCTCTAACCACCATCGCCCGATAGAATCCGAAGCGACACATATGGATCACTATCAACAATATCTAGTTGTCTAATATGTCTCAGAGCTTGTTTCCTGATTCAACAATGTTCGAGGTATCATGTGCATACAATAGATACTCCTATAATGGTTATATGCATGGAGTGCTATCGAAAATTAGTAGATAAAATCATGTGACATCAATTGATTAACAATATCAAAGAGCTTTTATATGTAATAAAATGTTTCATTTTTTCTAATTTTCACAACACAATATATTTTCAGACGGAATCTGTAAATATGATTAATGGGGATTAAAAAAAGCTGAATAGTTCATATAAATTATTAAAATTTAACAAAAAAATCTGAATATATATATATATATATATATATATATATATATATATATATATATATATATATATATATATATATAAAGAAAGGAAAAATAATTCATGTTACATGTAAAAACATTAATCTATGTTACATATGGAGATGATCATCTTTTGTGTAAGAAACTATTTTATTAATTTGAAAAAAAAAATTGAAATACCCTTAACAAAAAGAACATTTAATCCAAATACTATATGTTTTGGGATATGGTAAAATGGAGAAAAAAAAATGGTTGTTTGAAAATTATAAATGGAAAGCGAATAGAGTCCGAAGGATAATGCAAGACATGTATGTATCCAAACGGCTGGCAGTGGGCACATACAAACAAAACAGATGGACCAAACCCAGAAACCATGCCACTGGCTAATTTGACCATCTATATCCCCATTAAATACAAAAAAGGACATAATAGTAATTTCACATACCGCATTCATTTCTTAACTTGTCCTCTTGCGTAGCGATCAAAAGCAGGTGGATGCCCATACCCCTCAAAGCCTCAAAACTCAAACCCTCCTACTTTTCTCTCTGCCATCGGTGAATCAAATTCTTCTCTGTAATTCGCTTTCTGATTTAGTATCTATGAAGAGATCAATCTCGTTTGCGGGAGATCAGGTCAACGGAGGTGATGATGTTGATGGTGGCAAGATGAAGAAGAAGATCCGCGAAGATCTGGTGCCAGATACAGAGAAGGGAACTGAGGAGACGGTGGAGTCGCCACCGGAGACGCCGGATACGGCGGCGGGTGTTTTGCTGGACGAGAATTTGCTATATGAAGTTCTGAAGCATGTGGACGCGCGGACGTTAGGTGCGGCGGGATGCGTGAACAAGCAGTGGCATCGTACAGCTCAAGATGAGCGGTTATGGGAGCTGATCTTTACAAAGCACTGGGCGAATATCGGATGCGGTAACAACCAGCTTCGTTCGGTGGTTCTTGCCCTCGGTGGCTTCCGGCGACTCCACTCTCATTACTTATGGCCTTTATCCAAGCCTTCCACCTCTGCCGCTACCTCATCGTCGTCTTCCACCGTCGCTGCCGCCGCATCCTCTTCGGCTTGGCCGTGTCTACCACCGCCGCGTACAATTGTTCCGTCGAAGCCTACCACCACCGCTGCGAAAACCCGTTGGGGGAAAGACGAGGTTCAGCTTTCTCTTTCTCTTCTCTCGATTCGTTACTATGAGAAGATGAATTTCAATAACCGAAAATGAAATCCAGCGAATTGTAACAAAAAAACCCCAATCGCTGATTTCTTTTTTTAAGTTTGCAGTTTGATTTGAGTTTGCTGTTTGTTTGTAATTTTCTGTAGTATGAAGTAGTAGATCTGGTTCTACTCTATCCCTAACTAAAAACAACTAATCCTTGAGCTCCAATGTATCCTGGATTTCTTTCTTTCTTCCTATTATCAATGAAGTATGTGTAAATTGAGAGACAATTGATTGATTTTTAGCCTTTTTAGCATCTGAATCAACTGTTAATCCTTAATTTATAACAAATCAAGCTAACCATTTTCATATATTCATCGATTTGATTTCAATTGTGTCAAAAGTCGATCATCTTTTCATCGTTTATTTCTTGAGGGTTGTCGATTTGGGAAAAGGGGATGATGGTGAATGTCGCGGGAGGGGTGTTTGGGTACGAGGATAGGTAAAAACGGGTAAAACTAAACTCACCGACGTTTAGTCAGTTGATGCGCTGTGGCCTGTGGGTAAGTAAAGTACAAATGGACGACGACAATGCTTGAGGGAGGAGGAATTGTCCTTTTGTGGTGTGACCTTTTTATTTTCGTTCTTTTGTAGTGTTATGGTTTTAAATCAGTAAATTATTGTTTATTAATATATTTTAAGAAATAGCTGTTTACTAAAATGACAAAAGTAAAAGTCAGATACGAAGGAATATCCATGTTTTCAGTTTTTGTCAAAAGAAGATTATCAAATTTGTGAAATTAGAAATTAGTCTCGCAAGTTATCGAAGAAGATAAAAATTGGGAGATTGATTTGCTAATTAATTGCAATGTTCTTTAATTCATGAAATACTTGGTCAAAATGTGTGTTTGCTAATTTGTGAATTGCATTAAAACAACAGTGTTTATAGTTTGATTTTTGAACATGTTCTTTCTCTTTCCAAACAATATAATCAACGATTTTCACAAAGGAAGAATACGATCATAATTTTCAAATGAATGTAAAATTTTGGAACAATACGATCATAATTTTCAAATGAATGTAAAATTTTTGTATTTGCATTTCGTGAGTTTTCATATATTCCGCGCGAACTTTTTTGATTGTTTAATGAAATGACTATTATCTCAATGTCGTCGAACATTAGTTGTACAATGGGTTAAGATATTGTTTTCATGATGTAATATACATTATGCGATACAGTTCTTATGTTTCGAATTCGTTAGTTCTAACTTAGTTTTTTGTTTGTTAAACGAACAAGAGAACGTCAAAAAACAACTTAGAAGAATTACTAAAGTAAAACAATATGACTAAAGTAAAACAATGTGAAACCGAAGATTGAAAGAGTTTAATGACCATTTAACATCACAAATCATGAGAGGTCAAGGGTTTGGTTACGCTTACAAGTGTAATAGCCGATAGCCGTGGAATAGATGCATTTTGTTGGCACTTCTCACACTTGGATATTGTGTGCTCAGTGTCTCAATACATGGTTGGACAATAGAAGCTCAACTTTGCTATTTTTTGGGCGTCACGATATATGTTAGGACAATAGAAGCTCAACATACAAGCCAACTATCCCTTCATGTGTTTCCATGATGACTTATCCAAATTCTTTTTTGTTCAAACATACAAGCCATGGTGACGGGTATTCCCATTTTATATAGAACTTTGTTTCGCAAGGTGTGCTTTGGTGCTTTATCCTGACTTTTCAAGCTTCTTCTTCGTCATCATGTATCGTGTCATCTTCGAGGTATTTGATGCTTGGGGTCATCCAACTTCTCTCTTTCTTGTTTGGTGTCATTTATCTCATTTTCATTAAAAAAAATTATGGGGAGTATTTCTACTAGCACTTTTTTCATTAGATGTGTGAATCTCAATGATGTCAACTTCTCAACGAATTGGTTCTTTTATTCGTAGACCTTGGTTATTATGCAATTTGAGATTTGTCTAATGACCGAACTAGCTATTTAACTTTCTGGGCATATTTTAACATGTGGTTTTCCTTAACTGCAAAGATTCTTTTTACTTGGTTCATAACGATCTTTGAGTAACCAAATGTGACTATCATCTTAGCACCAACTTTGTTGCTAGTCTTAATCACACAATTAAGGCTTCATATTATGAATTGTTATTTAGCGTTGGTAAACTAAACTTTAATTCGTACTTAACTTCATCTACCTTTGGATTAGTTAGTACCAATTTGGGTATGGATCTGACTTAGCTCGAAGATCCATTTATCCTTCTTTGATATTGTCACATTTTTAGTCCCTTTATATGTGGTGTTTATGTAATGTATTCAACAAGTCCTTGGACTTTGTTACTTATCATTGGCCTGTATTCTATGTCTTATTTGTGTAACACCCAAATTCCTAATATGTATTTAATTCTCTAAGTTGTAATGTTCATTTTAGTTTGACATGTAGTAGGACGAAATGCGCCTAAGTTATGGCGCGACACATATTAGATGATAAAGAAACGCTAATTTTATCGGGCCTTGGGCCTATTTAAAGGCATTGACTCCTAGGGTTTATTCCATTCCCCAATCTCCATCCTCAAGTATGAAATCCTAGCCTGTTATGCCTCCTTGTGTGATTGTGTGAGTGTTTGAGAGGCCCTTTGTGTTCTTTGGTGTCATTTGAAGATGAAGAAGGTGCTTTTGGTTCAAGCTAAGCATGATACAACCAAGTTTTACATTCTCATCACCTTCTAGGCCTTGAAAGGGTATAAACCTTCAACCTTTATGCTTCTTCATGCTTAGATCTAGTCTTGATTCTGGTTTTTGCTTTCTTTTGATCCCTTTCTTGGGGTTCTTGGAGTTTGAAATTGGAAGTCCATGTCAATATACCATATGATGGGTTTTGATACAAAATATAAGTTAGTTTTTCATAAATCTAGCAATAGAAGCTTTTAAAAACAACAAGTTTATTTTGGAGTTTATAACAAAACCAAACCATCTAGAATCCATTTTTACAGGTTAGAATGATATTAAAAACAACCATATAATGTTTTAGAATGACAATCTCTGAAGCCTTTGGATCCACTTGGTTTGGGGGAGTTGATGAAGATAGAAAGATCAAAGAGTATGATCTTCTCTACAAGTATCCACCACCAAGATTAAGGTACTTGGGTTGCTAGTTCCTTCTTGTATTCTTGAGTGTTTTAAGCCTTTAAGAAATTAAATAAACAAAAAAAGGAGACAATTGAAGACCACCAAAGACTTGAAACAATATTCAAAAGAAAGCAAGAGAAGAGCTTAAAAGAAAGATATAGTTTTATAGAGAGAAAAAGAGAAGAATAAGCACTTTTCAACCAGCCAAGAACTCATGCAAAGGCCTTCCTTTTATACTCCTATTCAATGCATGCCTTTAAATTTTAATAATATAAAGCAACTTTAGCCCTTTAGAAGCATGGGAGACAAGGTAAGGAGATTCACAAGAAACCTCTATGCCTTAATATAAAATTAGGCCATGGTCTTCTAATGAAGACAAACCGTGTTTGCTAGTTTATTAACCATGATATATAAAATCACTTGTTTGATCATGGTTAACCAAAGTGGCCAAAACTTTGTACATGACTTATTAAATCAGATGGTATGATATAATAACTAGTTATACTAACTTTTAATTATTATTTTCACAAAAACAATAATTATTCTCTAATAAAATACAACAATTAATCTTATTTATTAATAATTATATTAATAATAAATATACGAAATATGTCAACTTGATAAAGGTGTGAACCTATATGATCATACGTTATTAGCAATGTCACTAAATAATGATTCTTGAGCATATAGATCCGGCAATCTCCTACTTTCACAAGATTCATTATAGAGTGACACAGATAGTAGTCGACACCTAGCAACAGGCTACTGCCCCTAACAACATATGAATGGTGTCATCTTATCAATAGTCAATTCCATTAGCTCTAAGTTATAATTGTTATTAAAGATGTGTTATCAGTTATTCCTTTGTCTCAGATTCCATGTTGAACATGAGATAAGATAGCCATCAATGTTATTTAGTGTTCAAATTTTAGTAAGGCCTTAGATATCTAAATCTCAATTAATAAGAGGAACAAACCTCATATTGACTACATACGCCCATCATTGTAGTTCATTCCATACCTGTCATACCCAACGATAGCTCTTATGACTGCCTTTTACAGAATAACGTTAAACCGTGTCAAAACACAAAATTCCTATACTTTAAGTCCCAAATATGTATCTCAGGTCTAGGAATACAAAGATACAACCTTGATCAAAACATCACTCATGACTACGTTCCATAAAGTGATTTTGATGTGGGTCAGGTCCACTACTTATTTTCCTAATCAAGCACTTATGAAGTTGGTAGCAAATCTTGCTATTTTCATCACCATGGAAATCAACCAATCCACTCATATTAGTCTTATCTCATATATGCTTCCACAAATATGAACGACTATACACATTTAGAATAACATAGGTATTCAAAGATAAAACATGCTAATATAGAACACAACAATTACTTAATGAAAGACTATATCCAATATATCTATAACACCCGCAAATTCGGTCTAGGAAAACAAGTTATTACACTCCATAATAATAAATTTCAAATAAGAGATTATTTAGGACAAATAATCTTAACAAAGTTAGAGTATGTGTGAAAATGATTCCATACATATAAAGAACACTAAAATCCGACTTCATATGAAGAAGTTATGCTTGTTTGAATTTTCGCAATTAATCCGACACGACTCTGCATATCATCAAAAGTAAATTTTTGATAAATTACTTTTTGACCTATGTGTTCTAGATGAGAGTCGTAGTAGTCATTAAATTGAGAGCGTGCATATAGAGAACGTCTAAATGTGACTTCATTAGTAGAAGTTACAATTTTTTTAAAATTCCACATGACAGTGTACAACTCCAAAATTGAATTTTAGGGTGGTCGATTTTTAGCAAAAATAATCTAAACAAGAATCAAAGATCTCGTTAATAGGAGTCAGTCAATATAAATACATTCAAGAACGGGTGTCGG